TGTGTGTGTTTCTTTAAAGCCATATATATATATATATATATATATATATATAAATAGTGTGTGTGTACCTGTTTGTTTTCCCTCTGAAGAGCAATATGTTGCAAGACAGAAAACAAACATTCCCTTGTGTTTCTTTAACTCTGCTTATGTCTAACTGCTACTCAATATTTTCCTTCCTCTGTTCCATTTTGGCTCCTGTTGCATATCCCCATTGCACCTGTCCAACTTATCATTCCCTGATCAAGGACTCGAGACTGTAAAGTCCTTTAGGATATAGGAATTCAAATTCAATATTGGACTACTTTGTGTTAGCACCGGACATAGGCCTAGGCAAGTAGTTTCTTGCCTTTGCTTTCTCAGAAGAGAGTGAAACCCTAGTAGTGAATGACCTGGGAGGCCAGTATCGAGGGTTTAATTTCCAGGTTGGGGTTGAAAAGACCAAGGAATATATTTTGTATTGTAGTTAGGATAGCAGGGGCTGTTTTTTTTAATTTTTTTAAATTGTTATTATAAAGGTGATATACAGAGACCTCCCAGTTATGTAAATCAGGTGAAGAATACATTTCTTTTTGAATAATGTCACCCCCTCCCTCATACTCTCCCAGTTGTTCTCTCCTGTCCCCACTCAGAAGTTATATAGTTCATTTTCAACATCGTGACTAGCCACTGCTGCATTTGTTCACCCTTTGTCCCTCCATTTCTGTTACCCCTCACTCACCCCTAAAAATGAACAAATGAGACAAAACAAAACAAAACAGAAACAGCACCAAATGAAAAGACCAACAACAACAACAAAAACCCTTGCTTCCATTTCCTGAAGTTCATTTTGATAAATATAAGTTTTTTATGATCAGAGGCCAAGAGTGGCTTTGAAGTGATGCTTGCCTCATAAATTTTATCTCAGCTTAGTAGATTCAGTCCTTGAGCTATATCAGTTTTAGTTATATAGGCTGAAGACAAGATGCGATGTCTTTGTTAAACATTAAAATAATATTCAATAAGGAAGGAGGATTATTTCCTAGAGTTAGAGAAAGAGCAGGTGACCAAAAGGTAAGTGTATAAGTTCCTGTCCAGTTGAAAATGAGACAGGTATAGACTTCAGCATCAGGTAATCATTCTTATGAATCTTCCTTTATAACCTTCTCTGCTGTAGTTACTTTGGGGAGGGCTGGCGAAAGGGGCATCCATGTGGATTCTGATAACTTCTCCTCTCTTTTGAGCAGATTTTTTCTTCCAAACTGAAAGATTATCCTTATTTAAAACCATGTGTGACACTAATCAAGATATATTGAACAGATAAATGGACATATTGATTAAAACTGCTTTGTGCAACTATTTGAAGACAGTAATCAAAATATGGCAAAACATACCACATGACAGAAGAAATCCCTGATTGAAGAATGTTGGAAAAATTTTATATAAATAGTGAAACAACTGGACCTATCAGGAAATCTATTGGGATGAACCAAATACAGGTCCTTTGCATCAGTTGGGAGCCTCAAGCAAAAGAATTTTATTCCATCAGGAAAGAGCTGAAGTGGTTTAGGCTTAGTCCATCATCTTTAGAGGAATGGCTGATTTCAAGTACTCCATATTCTTTTCACTCTCTCCTGCTTCAACTCAATGCCTATTGTTTGGTTAAAACTTCATGCTGGGTTATAGTTCTGAGCCCTGGTCATAGCATAAAGAAAATAAAAATAAAGAATAGTAGGATTCAAATCTCTAAACAAAATAGAAACGAGTCATTCTTTCTGTGAAAGCATATGGCACAGTTAATTGACTTTTTAATAGAAGAGACTGGCTCTAAAACCAAACTCTGCCATAGAATACCTTTTTGACTTTGGATCTGTCACTTTAAATCTCAGAGCCTTGATTTCCTAATGTGATATTACTAGCATCCATCAGATAAGCATGGCATGGGCATTTAAATCAGCATACATAGAGCAATAGCTATTAAAGATAACTGTTATAAGAAAAGTCCTCTCCCCACTTCTAGAAAGTTTTGAAATACTCAGACTCCAGGATGAAATGGAGGAAGTGGTTAAGAACATTCGTGTAGATGCTAAGAACAGAGGAAACCATGAAACTCCAAAACCCTGGTACCAGGATGTGCAGTAGAGCAATGTGTTCTGGAAACTTGGGGAATTAATAGGGAGGCAGAGGGGATAGCATTATCTGCAGAGAAGGTGCTATTGTTCCTTCATCTATTCCTCAAATGAAGTCCTCAGTTGAATCAGGTATGATGCTCAGCATGGCAGAAACATAGGCTAAACAGACCTGGATGACTCTCAGCTATCACTGACTGAACTCCTAGGGAGTATTTTGTGAGGATGATTTTATAAGTTTTGGTAACCCACAAATGATGGTTACATAAAAAAGCAACTGCCTAATTAAATTTACCACTGTAGTCCCATAGGGTGGGAAAATATCAATTATTAAAATATTATGGTTGAAAAGCCTTAACCCTCGATTTTCTTCCCTGTACTCCCTGTATCCCTGCATATATATATATATATATATATATATATATATATATATATATACACATACATACAATTCCCTTCATACAACTACATACAATATTCATACTCCATTCAACTCCCTTCTTTATAAATCCAGATGCATAAGCACCCATAAGAACAGTGTCCTTTCTGTTAAACATATCGATTTTTATTTTTAATATTTTTTGTGGTATAAAAGTTTAAACTCAGAGCTCCCCTATGACCCAGCAATCCCACTTTTGGGTATTTACCCAAATGATCACAAACAAGACCATACTAAAGCTACCACCACAACTATGTTTATTGCAGCATTATTTACTATACCTAAGATATGGAACCAACCCAGATGCCCCTCAGTAGAAGAATGGATCAAGAAAATGTGGTATATATACACAATGGAATTCTATGCCTCCATCAGAAAGAATGACATCGCCCCATTTGTTAGGAAAAGGAAAAGGCTTAGAGAAAATTATATTAAATGAAGTAAGCTAGGCCCAAAGAAACTTAGGTCCCATGGTTTCCCTTATTTGCAATATCAGTATATGTCTGAGTCAAGCAGAAAAGGTCAGATAAGGTGATGTTAGGGAAATGAAACCTAAGATATGTATTCAAATGTTTTTTTTTCTCTCGTGTGATTGTTTCTAACACATTTATAAGATGATTTCTTTGTTGCTTTGTATGTCCTTCCCCCACAGTATAACCCCTGCTTTCACTGTATTTGATATCGGTATAATTTGTGGAGGGGAAGGTGAAAAACAAATAGTCTAAATAGGGATACAGGTGGACCCATTGCAACAATGAGATGTACAAGTCGTTATGTCAAAAACGAACTTTACAACTTTGATGGAGGGGGGAGCGGGGAGGATTGTGGGGGGGGCAGGAGGAGGATGGGAAGGGATGGGAAGGGGAAACAAAGGAGGAGGCTACAATGCCTGATAAGAAATGTACTCATTATCTTGCCCATGTAATTGTAACCTCCCTGTACAGTATTTTCACAATAAAATATAAAATAAAAAAATAAAATAAAATAATGAGTGATGAGAAAAAAAGTTTAAACTCAGGGTTTTGTGCTTGCTGGGCAAGACTTGTTTCAGTTATTGTGCAGGTTGTCTCAGATGTTTTGCCTTGCCTAGCTGGGACTGTGATTTTCCTATTTAAACATTTTTACATAGACCGTGATGACAAAGTGAACCAGCGTGTCAAGCTGTGATTACTGAGATGAGCTTTGACTACCATTCTTTCCTGGGCTGCCTTCCAATCATGACCTTCCCTATCTCCACCTCCTGAGAAGCTAGAATTACAAGCTACAGGCATGAGCCACTGCATTTAGTTATATTTTCTCCACCTCCTCCCAGAGTTCTAACAAAGTACTAGCCCATCCTTCAATTTGTAAGAGTCCAGTAGCCCAAGTTTTTACTTCTAATTAATTAGTTAACATTACCGCTTTCATATGCTTTGTTCAAAGCTCCTTTGATTCTTTATGGAGAGAGTTGTGCTATAAATAAACCATTCATTGTATAATACATCCATGCATATGTACTTGCTTAATGATTCATGGTTTAGGTTGAAAAAAAAAAACCCTGTTTAATGTGAACCACGTAGGGAGCTACAGGGGTTTCGCTTCTCATTTTGCCAACTTGAAGCTTGAAGCAATGGGGTAGAGTGGAAGAGAATTTCCCTGAGTGGGCGGGAGACACCATTGAAGTTCTGTCTACTTGCTTAATCTGTGTCCAATGTAAAATAAATTTACTTCATTGAATTTTCATCAGTAACATGGAGAAATTAAGACCTGATCTGCTACCGCACCTGGTGTATAAGAGTCTACAGTAGTTTGAATATGTTCCAAGTTATAGGGTATTGCACACAGTTAAGGTACCCAACATTAATCTTTCTACATTCCACTCTTTATTTCCCCTCCATCCAGAAGGTCTAAGAGCCCATCCTAAGTCTGGCTTTCCTTTTCCTTTCTCTTATATTTATGTGCATATAATTTATTTCCCTCCTTGTCACCCCATCTGCAGTTTCCATAAATCCTCTTCTTTCTATAACTGTTTTATTTCAATTAGCATAAGGATGTGTAGGTTTATCTATTGCCACAAATGGCAGGGTTCCTTTCTTTACAAAAAAGAAATCTCAATAATTTTCTACCCTAAGTGCTGAACACAATATTGCTGCAGTACACATGGGAGTGTACATATCTTTGTGAGTATAAACTCAGAGTAGGATTGGTAGATCATGCAGTTGCTTTAATTTGGATTTATTATTTTGTTTTGAGGCAGTGTCTCACTATGACACCTAGTCTGGTTCTTGGCTTATGCTCTTTCTGCCTTCCATGCCCCGGGGGCAGGAATTATAGATGTTCACCAGCAACAGTGTAACAGCTCAATTTTCTCTTTGTCCTCGTTAACACACACACACACACACACACACACACACACAGGCACGCATACATACACACACAATGGCTATATGTATGATTTGTGTAATGACTATTCTAAATAGTATACTGTGATATATCAATGCTTTTCCATAATACGTACAGCTTTTACTGTACCATTTCTAAGGAAGCAAGGGGAATGTGCTTTTCTAGGAAGTCAGCTTACCATGAACCCTATGACATCATTTTCTCAGTGATAACATAAATTTGGTCTGGAACTGACACCCAAGGGGCAGTAGCAATATGTCCCTCCCCACTGCATTTCACAAAGTAGTCTGGTGATGAAGGAAGGGTACAGCACAGTGCAAGAAAAGGGACCCATGATGCCCTCCATGGAGTACTGAAGGCCTCCAGTACTCCGTCCTGAGATGAAGCTTCATCTATATTTCTGGAATCATCAAAAAGACATGTCCTCCTCCTTGTGTCTAGTACAAATAGCTCTTTGTGAAACTAAGAAGCAGAACTTTTCTCCCTGGGCTTTAAAAGAAGTGTCCTTTTCAACCCAACTATTTCCATGCATGCCTCTGTGACAGTCATAACTCACAAGGTAATAACTTAAGAGTGGCATCAAGTGACAAGGTGATGCTATAATTTTCATATCTGTTTGAAAAATTGTGGTTCAATATGAATGCTTCCAGCATGTGTCAGCCTTTATTTATGATGTGAGTTTATGGACAAGGGAGGAAAAATGAGAATTTGAGGTGTAAAAATAAAAATAAATTAGGAATTCTTCTTCAATAAATACAACATACTATGGAACGACACCAGGATGCTAGTCAGCATGCACTAAGCAGACATCTTTAGGGATTAGTTTGAAGATTAAGGAAACGGACGAGAAATGGAAGAGGAATCCTGAATGAGAAATCAATCTGAGTCATTGAATTGGATTCAAAGCAAGCAAACACCCAGTTCATTTGAAACTGCCAAAACTCTCTTAAAACAATTGAAGTGTAATCCAGCATACCATTCCCATTCAAAAAGCTTAGGGGAAAAACAAGCTCTCACTGTCTTCCATCAGGCCCAAGTTTCTTAGTTCTGATTGGACTTGGTAGGGTAGTTCAATGGACTTCTACCGTCAGGACTCTTTCATGGACTTGGTTGGAACTCACACCTAGCAAGTTCTGTGTTTTGCCTAGTAATTTTTCCATCTGCGCTGCAAGTACCACAAGACTCCCAGTCCTGTGTACCTTGAGCAACCCCAGGTTCTCAGATTGATAACCTGGCAGTCTGTGACGTTTGGTCCTTAGCATCGAATCCATGTGGAGAAGTGGCTCAGGAGTTATTCTTCCAGTCTAGATAGCAGTCGTGGCTTCTTGGTGAACATTTTCTGCATCTGCTAGCCCATCCGGTTGTGATGTTTTTCCATCCAGCAGAGCTTTCCTGAGTCGTCTCCAGAAGATGTGCCTCCCCAGCATACTGTCCTCCCACTCCAGGTAAGTATTTCTACTGAGAAGGCGATACAGTTCCACCTGCTGCCGGAGCAGGGACTTCTCCAACTTCTGCAGGACGATGAAGATGATGCCAGCGCGGCTGCTCAGAAACTGCCAGGTCTGAGCGATCTCATATTCAAAAATGCACCAGCGGCTCTGGATGAAGTGCCGAGACACTACAACAATCACCTTCCGGCTTTTGTGGAAGCCTTCCTGGATAATGTTGGCAGCAATGGCCACACCGGGGATAAAGTCCCTGTAGTGAAGGCAGAGTTGAAAGGGGGGTACTCCTTCTTCTAAGTTCTTTACCAACTCATTTCTCACCCAGTTCTCATCCTGACTCGAATAGATAACAAAGGCATCATAGGCCATTTCACCTCTACCATACTCTTTACAGCCAGCAAGGAGCATTAGGTGAAAATAGAACTTGTAGACTAAAAGTCCAATAATAGCTACCATGAGGATACTGAGCACTGACAGGCTAATAGTGGTCTTGTTTATTTGACAGGTGGTATTTCTGAAACTCAGCACTGGCATGCCCTGCATATCTGGAGGATTTGCACATGTCATTTGTTCAGCCTCCACCAAGAGTCCCCTCTGATCCTTGACCCACTGCAAGAAACTCTGATGTTCACAACTACAAGCAAAATTATTCTGAGTAAGATTTAAATGTGTTAGCTTACTAGGGAAATGTAGTGCCTGCCGTTTGGAAGCTACGATATAATTGAAACTATAATCTAAGACCTGGAGAGAGAGGAGATGTGCATAAGGGAACAGATCCAAATACACGAGATGGTTGTGACTCAGATTTAGGACCCGAAGATTGGGAAGGGTGTCAAATGGTCCCTTGGATACCTGTGTCAGTTGACACTCAGAAATGTCCAGGATGGTTAAGTTAGTCATGTTTCTGAAGATATTTGGAAGGGTGCTGTCCTTGAAAGAATTACCAGCCATTTTTAAAACTTTCAGATTGGTCAAGCCATCAAAGATGCCATCGAAGACAACTTGTATATGGGTATAAGAGATGTCAAGGTAGTGCAGTTGGTGGAGACATAAGAATACTGTAAACTGATTGGTATGTTTCAAAGCGGAATGCTGAAAATCTAGATACTCTAGCTGGCATAAGCCTATGAAATTTGAATTCATGAGAATAACCCCATTGAAGCTCAGATCTAAATGCCGGAGTGTGGTTGTTCCAAAATCCTCAGAAGAACAGCAATGCCGGAGACTCAAGCCATTTCTACTAAGATCTAGAATTTCCAGATTTGGTAGTTCAATATCTACCATGTTAACTGCACCTTTGTTATCTGTAAAATTCAACTCTTTGAGAGAAGGGAGTGCCAAAGGGGGAAATTGTCTAAACTTACACCTTGCTACTTCTAAGGATTTCCACTTGAAATCTTCAGGAAGGTTTTCTAGGTTTTTAACATACAGATTCACTAGAGACATTGCAGAAACATTTGCCAAACAATTAAACAAGCCAGTAACATCACCAGAAAATTCATCTAAATATGCAAACCGGAATTCTTCAATGGTCAAACTACACAATCCATCCAAGGCAGATTTGTCAAAACTGTCCATGTTCCTTTCATTTTTAAATTCTCCCAAAACCAACCGGTAGACTTCTAAACCAGCCAGACCTTGAATACAAGTTCTCATTACATGTGTATTATTAAAATTACTTCTTAAAGTCAATTTATGGAGTTTTACTTCTTTAAAGGCACCAGGATGAATGATATCAATTGGGTTCAGGGAAAGATCTAAAGAAAGGTTGAGTAGTGGCTTTTTACGTAGAACCTGTAAGTCTTTGTAATGAATACTTTGAATCTTGTTATCAGAAAAGTCCAAGTGTTCCAGGTTGGTCAAGTTTAAGAAATATTCAGGCAACTTGAAGGAATGGATAAGATTGTGAGCCACATTGAGCTCCTTCAATGCTCTGAGATTTCCAATAGGGAAGGTCCTTAGAGAGAGTATGTTGGTCTCCACAGCCACCAGCTTCTGCAAATGTGAAAGTCCAGAAAAGGCTCCTGGGGCTAAACTCTCGATAGGGTTTCCCGTCAATATCAAGGTAGATAGTTGGCCTAAACCTTGATAGGCACCATCTTCAATCACCCGAATATCACACCTACAAAATAAAAAGATACAGATTGTATAATATTCCTGCTGAATGAAGATTCACAACAGAATAATGACCCCAGCCCACCAGTTCTTTACATAGATGTTATGTGCCCTATGATTGTACATAGGCAAAGATATGTAATGGAGTAGATGTTGATGGGAGGAGCAAGTAAGAAGCCCCACAGACTGGAGTCATCACTCAATTGGTAGATGGTCAACCATCAGTGACCATTGGCACACACTTAACACCACGCACAAAGTTAAAATGAAGCTCCACAGATTCAATATCAGCATCCTAGCTACAATGGGAAACATTTTCAAATTAAGTATACATGCTAAGCAGAGGCAGCAGATCCATCAGAGTAAAGTCAATGAGAGATCAATAATTGGGGCTCATATAGATTACATGGTTGATAGAGTATGTCATGGCCTTTGGTCAAGTTTAGCCATTTGGTGACACAGTTAATTGTGAGTCCATGATTGGTGTAGACCACGTAGGTGGTTGTTACTTTAGTAGCCACCACAAGTGACAGATGTCTGTTTCAAGGATATAAATAAATTTCACATAAGTGCCACTGATACCCTTAATACTTATGAAAAGCTCTGCCTATGTGACAGCTAGAATGTGAAAGCTGTCATTACCCCAAGTAAACATTAATAACCGGTTAACAGGAGTATCATGTTAGAAAAAGAAAAGCTGGGTGTGAAGTCAATATCAAAATATCAGTCCAGATTAAAGTAAGCTTTCCTGAGAATATGGAAGTTGAAATTTAAGGGATGAGTAATAATTAATGGGAAATAAAGGTGAGCAAGAGACCCCCAAAACCCTCAAGTTAGAAAGCAGTCATGATACAGTGAGTAACTACAATAGTCACTCTCAGAAGTGCACATTGAGAATGAAGGTTGTGTCGATGAATAGGAATGTGGAGAAAGGAGGGTCCAGATGAAGTGGGCAATGACAAGGTTTTAAATTTTTTACCCCAAGAGAATTAATTGGTAGCCATGTTACATAGAGACTTCCTACGTACCCAGCACTGAGGCAGCTGGCCTACACAGCTCGTGAAAAATTCCTGCTAGTATTACAGGAGCCTGCCTGACAGAGTCTATCAAGGAATCCTTTCCCTGTCTAATCTGAGCTACCCTCCCGGAGGTTTACAATATTCCCTGCCTGTCCTAGGACTTTCAGAAGATCCATAAGTAATAAATAAAATAATTTTGGTAAGCTTTTGTAATAAATAAAATAATCTTGGTAAGCTTGTGTAATTTACTTATAACTGATGAGAAGATGGTGGATGTGGCAGAAAATGTTCTGGGAGCCACGGACGGAGGCCATGTCTATAGTCACAGCATTTGAGAGACAGAGAAAAGGGGACCACAATGTGAGGCCAGTCTGGATTATAGAGCAAGACCCTGCCTCAGGAAATATATATATGGCAGGACAACTAGGTTTTGGAGCCTCAGCTTCCTCTGCTTACTATGTAACTTTTAGAACTCCTTTTTCTCTTTGTGTTTCAGTTAACACATTTTTAAATGACACAGCTGAACTTGACTACGTCTCAGTTCCTTCTTTTGGTGATATGATTTCATAGCCCATGTTCATATATATATATATATATATATATATCAGGCCATACTAGATTTTGCAGGGTTTTGCAGTATCTCCATCTCATTATGTAAAGCATAAGAGAAGCACACATGAAGATGAAGAAAACATTTAACTTAGAAGAAAGGGATGCATTGTTCTGTTGTAATAAACCAATGTGGCACTTAAATCATTTAAACTCTTCAAACCTCGCTTTCTTATCTAAAAACAGATTATGTATTGATGTAAGCATTTTATAGAGAAAGAAATGTCTCTGTTGTATCCCAAAGCACTTTCAGAAGACTCTTTCAGTTACTGTACTATTTGACTGGAAGAAGGCTATGTAGTGTGTTACTCTCTCTGTCCTTGTCCTAATTTGAAATCTCCTATGGGCTAATCAGAGAGGGAGCTGGCCTCTTTATAAACATAGAGACAGTTCCTTGGGATTATATAGATCAAAGATGAATTATATGGAACATTGTCTGATGAGAAAATACATCTTTTTTTAAAAAGGAGAAAGTTGATTGGTCAACTTTAGAGCAGTACTAGGCAAAATTGTCAGTTGGAAAACTACAATTTAGAATCCAATATAATGATCATATCAATCATAATATTTTATCTTTATGAAATACACCTTATAATGTTTTGAATATATACAGCCCATTAGTAGTCTTATCACATTTAACCCTGTATGATGAGTTTCCTTATTTCTACTTAACAGATATAAAATTGGAGGCCAAGAAATGCAATGAGATACTTCAGGTCAAAAGGCCAGGGCCATCATTGGACACTAGTAGCTCACACCTATAATCCCAGCTACTCAGGAAGCTGAACTGTGAGAGGATCAAGGTTCAAAGCCAGCCCTAGCAAGAAAGTCCATGAGACTCTTATCTCCAATTAACCACCAGAAAACCAGAAGTATAGCTGTGGCTCAAAGTGGCAGAGAGCTAGTCTGGAGCAAAAAAGAAAAAAGAGAGAGAAAAAAAAAAGAAAAAGAAAAGGCTAGAGTCAGATAACAATCATTGAGTTTGTACTATGTGTCCACCAATACAGCTAGGACTTTTGCATACTAACCTTTAAAAAAGATTTGGTCTCGCTAATTGTTATGTGTGTGTGTGTCTGTCTGTGTGTGTGTGTGTGTCTGTCTGTGTGTATCTGTGTGTCTGTGTGTTTCCTAACAGTGCACATCATATTGCCAATGGTCAGTAAGTATCTACCAACATAATTTTCTCTCCTGAATTAAAAAATACACCAAAGGTAAAGTTTTTCTTAGAACTCTCTCTTACCGCTGCTCATTTCATAGTTGGAAACCGGCCTGGAAACTAGAGATGGCTTATCTAAGGTTGAACCACAAGGAAGACATCTGTGGAAGAAATATATGAATACGTGTGGGGGCCATAAAGCCCCATAGGAGCTGAGTGAATACAGGAATTGATTGGATAAGTAGGTGCAGAGAAAGCCTGATGCAGCCATTGGAAGACTGCTGGTTTGTGTGTTTGCTTTTGTGTTTGAGTAAAGACATAGGCTCCCAAGTGCTTCACATTCTACTCTGATCCTGTCCTTGGACAGATAGTGTCCCTAATCTTTACTGCATCCTGGTAGCCTGTTTTCTACCTCTGGATAATGTGCCCTTTGATTTGTAAGCTAACATGAACTCTCTGACACATTAAAAGCAGAAAGACATTTGGAAGGCTGGTGTCTATCCCAGACTCCCATGGCTTCTCTTGGTAATACTTAATGTATGTCTTGAGTAATTCTTTTTTTTCTACCATCATGGTATCCAATGCATGGAACTGACAAATGAAGATGAGACTCTATCAACCTGGCATTCTGGCCCTCAGAATGAAATACTATGCATTAAGATGAATTGAGAAAACAACAAACGTCTCACCTTGTGTAGTATGGAAAAGCTCATTCATTTACCTGGATAAATCCAGCACCTGAAGTTCTGGAAATTTGGAGAAGCTCTGACTTTCTAGGGTATTCAGGGGGTTAAAGCTCAGGTCCAGGTTTCTGGTTGAGGAGGGTATGTTGTCAGGGATTCTGGAGAGATTCTGCTCCATGCACTGGTATGTCACATTGGGGATCACCTGCAATAATCACAAATTAAATGTAGTTTTGCCAGCTGTACTGTCCCAATTTTTCTTTCTTAAATCAGATTGGGATGGGGGACAGGCTCTGGAACAGGAGTCAGTCAGCCTCTTCTATCTATCTATCCATCTACCTATCCATTCATCCATCTCTACATACATCTATCCATCCATCCATCCATCCATCCGTGTACCCACACATTTCATATTTACTAAATGTCTCCTTTGAACTCACTGATCTAACCTCCACAATATTAATGGTAACACGAAATGAGAAGAAAGGAAATCCAGTCATAAGGACGTCTGAAATTTGGAATTCCTAGATTTCTTATTACTTCTTTTGAATTCTTCCTTTCTTTTAAATTTCAGTGAACTTCACCTATCACACATAAAACAGAGGTAGTAAAATACTTTGTACCGTTGTGATTGCCTACCCTCAACATAACTAGCAGGAGAAGACAATTAAGATGTCTATACTTCCCTTTCTGTTCCTTAGCTAATGGACTTGTAGCAAAGTCACACAGAAATAAGGGATCATGGTAAAATGTAGAGATTCCAATAGTGAAAGAGTAAAATAAGGTTGAATGTCTTTACTGTTTTGCTTTCTATGTCATCTTATGTTCTGAGCTTTTATTTGTTAAGCTTTACTTTCCCATATTCCTTGTAAGCCTTCTTCTTGAACCTTCCATCTAACTTCAGAAATTAGGTGATCACCTACAAAATGCCTTGCTGTTATCCACCTGGTTTTAGTCTTTTCTTGGTTAAAGCCATTAGAATCTGTTTAAATGATTCAATGAGATAAGGTATTTAAAGAACTTATCTCAAAGCTTATTACACTGAAAATCATCAATAAATATAAATATTAGAATTATCATTGTCTACTATTAAACCCTTACCACATATCTGCAAACTTCATACATGTTATATAATTTCACTTAACCATCAATGAAATCTTTAAAAGCCAAAGAAACTAGAAACTGAGAGTGAAAGGTAGGATGGGTAAAATCACAGAGTTCACATTTTCAAGTCCTCACTTTCTTCTCATTGCTGGTTGAACATTCATTACCCATCATGGGAATGAAAACAATATACCTAATATAGCATGTTTCAAGAAATCTTCCTTCATCCTCTTTTATCTCCCTCCATAGTTTTATATAACCAGACAAAATTATATTGCCTTCATGATTATATCCTAAATGTCTTCATGTTTTGCACTTGACTGCAAACAATAGCTTGGCATTTGGATTCCAAAGCACAGAATGGTGCTTGGTGAATGGTGGGTGCTGCATAAACTTTTGTTGACTAGATCAATGAAAAAATACTGCATAATTGAGCCAAAGAAAGTTTGGTTAAGCCCAAATGATAGATATTTTCTGATAAGTGCTGTGTGCAATACAAAGACAAATGGAGCAATGAAGGAAATGCACTCATTATCTGACTTATGTAACTGTAACTCCTTTGTACATCACCTTTACAATAAAAACTTAAAAATCTAAAAAAAAATACAAATGGGTCTAGGCTTCACTCAATTCACAATCTAGTATGACAGCTGAAATAAGAACAAAACAAACACCGTCTCCAAGATCCATTAAATAGCCTTGACAATTTGTCCTCTGTTACAGAGAAAGCAGAGAGCAGTTCTGGATTCAGAGGTGGTTTTTCACTGCCAGTCTTGAAAGCTGAGTAAGATTCGGGTGCATGAAAAGAAGAAGGATATTTTGTAAGGATGGCATGAGACAGGAAGGGTGGAAAACTAACTAGATTAGCTGACAGTGGCAGGAAAAGTGAAATGTAATCTACAGGGTAGCCACAGCCAGCTCTGAGGGCCTCAGAGTCTATCCTGCAGCAATTCTGCCATCATTTAACACCTATAAATACAAGACCTACTATGTACCAGACACTGGAAATACAATGATAAATAAAGCCAGCAGCAGTTCTACCTTCCAGCCAATTATACTGTAAAGGGTAACTCTGACAATGAACAAATAAAAATATGTTACGAATAGACTCTTGGAAAAGATAAAGCAGTATAAGGGAGATTTCAGGCAAAAGAGGGACTGCAGAAGAGATGTAAAAGAAGAGATATTTAAACAAAGATCCCAGTGAAGTGAATAAAATTGAAGTTATAAAAATAATAGACCAAAAGTTTCCAATATGATAGCCACAATCCATAGGAAACCTCTGTTGTTGTTGTTGTTGCTGTTCTGGTTCCTTTCTTTTTTTTCTCCTGGATTTTTTTTTTTTTTGAGACAGTGTCTCACTAGGTAGCTGAGTCTGGCCTTAAATTTGTAATCTTTTTGCCTTAGCTTCCTCAAAACTGGGAAAATAGGCTTGTGCTTCTACATAACTATTGAGGATGAATGTGGGCCATTTAAATTGATACATGTGATACATGTGAAATAGACAGTAATTTTCAAGTACTTATCCTCGAAGGGGCAATGTAAATCATCTTTTCAGTAGTTTAATATATAATGCATTCTGAAATATTTTGAACGCCCTTACTAAAATTTCAAGTAGTTACTGGAATATGTAAACCTACACTTCTGTGGCTCACATATTGCCATCAGACAACACTGACTTAGGGGAAAAAGAAAAAGGTCCAAAAGTTTTTGTTTTGCCAGTACTAAGATTGGAACTCAGGGCCTTGTTCTTTCTAGGCAAACATTCTACCACTTTAGCCTCTAGCCCTGAAAATTTTAAAGGAGAGTAACTTGCTAGAGCTAAGCTTCTGGAATAATAATAATAATAATAATAATAATCCAATGAGTGTGCAAAATGTCTAAAGAAAGGTCTGTGTAAATTAAAGAGATTAGTCATGACCCAGAAGTGAAGGCTAAAGGAACAGAGGCATGTCCTTAAGGAAGGGACAAACTTTAGAAGCTTTTAGAAGATAGTACTGTATCAGGGGAAAGGGGAAGAGTCGAGAATATATGGAATTTTAACTAAGGGAAGGGAAGGGAAGAGGAAGGAGAGAGGAAAGAGGAAGGGGAGGGGAGAAGAGAGAAGGAAGAGGAGGAGAAAAAGAAGGAAAGGAAGGAGAGGGAGGAGGAGGAGAAGGAAGGGGAAGAAGAGAGGGCTTAGAATTTGGAGCAGGGAGGACACTTGACATAGCTAGTCTTGTTTACACATTAAAGTACATTATTTTCTCCCATGTCTTCAATTCCAGGACTCCAGCTGACAATGTTATACTTGAGTGTGTCTGTCCGAGTCTAACTTTGAATCATCTTCTTGGCTGTTCAGTTCTACTATGTGTTTCTAAGCAATGGTGTAGTCCAAGTAGGAAAAAAACCCAGAGATGAACTGTGAGTGAGATGACTCATCAGCTAGTTGGTATTTCATGCTGAAGGAAACCATCGCCTTAACTGCCAATGTGTGTCATGCTCTCCCTCCTTTCTTCCTCTCTGTCTCTCTTTAATTACTTGTATTTCAGCCTCCAGACTGAACCATGGGACTGAAGTCCCCTTAGAAGTCTGAAATCTACTTAGAAAATACTTTCTTCAGAGAAAAGAAAGAAAAGCCATTTTTCTCCTGAAATTGAAAGGGGACAGGATGACTCCTCAATGCTGAGCGTACACATCACTAGAAGAAAGGTCTAACACTAAGGCATCCTTCTTAAAACTCTCCAGTGAAGTATTATAATTCTTTTACAGACAAAAATAATTTTAAAAATAAATAAAAGACAAAAAAAACTAGTCTCATAGAGGTTCCATAACTTTTTCAAGGTCACATAGACAGGAGATCCTAAAGCAGTCGATTCAAGCAAGTCTAACTAACCTGAAGCCCATAATAGCTCTCAGATGTTCTAAATGGAACAAGACACCAGGTGCTCCCTGTTGTCCTTATGCTGCTAACAATGAGAGTTATTTGATCTCTCAAAGCTTTAGTTCATTTAACTCCTTTTTGCCAAATAAGCAGAACACACAGCAGAAAGTTCTACGCAGGGAGCAGTTTTGAGAAGCAAAGAAAAGCTCACAAGAGATGGGCAGATCCATACACATACCTCAATGCAGGGCTCCCAGCTTTCAGGTCTGAGACAGGAGAGGAAAGCCATACTGGGCATTAGAGTCCCAGCTAGGCGCCAGGAAGGCATCATCCTGGCATTTTCTGTGACCAGCAGCAGCCCCGTGAACACATATCTAGCCGTAAAATCAGCAGACAGGGCCGAGTCTGTGAAACACAGGTATCTTTTCTCCTCAGCACTGGTGCCCCCAGCAATTACTGTATTCAAAGCAGTTAAGTGGTGAGAGGAAGTGAGAGTGGCAGCCTTAGCATTCTCCTCTTTCTTGTTTTTCTAGTATGTATTTTTTTTTCCCCTGTAAAGGGAGGAGGAAGTTACAAAGAGAAGACATCTGCATACCAATGGTGGGAGGGTCAGCAAGAGGAAGTTGGCTTTCATCCCAGGGAGTCATTTGACTTCTTGGCTTGGGTGAACTTGGGAAAATAAACACACATGGTTCAACTAGCCAGTGGAAGGAATATTGTGGTCTTCCAATTTTGTGTTAATAGTGGAAAATTATGGCTCATACTCACTTGCTAAGATTGCCACAGTGAAGTATTTCAAACCGGGTGGTTTATTGTAATAGATATTTATCGTCCTACTGAAGTGGACCCTGAGATGGGGCCCAAGCTGGTATGAGTCCATTTTGAGGTTTGCCTTTGTTTTAGGGATTTTAGACTTCTGGCTCAAACTGGTAACACCACTTGCTTACAGTAAACCCTGCCTTTTGCACATGCTTATGGTAAACTCCACCTTTTGGCCACCAAAATGTAGACCTCTTTTTACCCACTAAAATCGCATGCCATTTTAAACCAAGGTGATAGGCTGGTTTATACAGCCATTACAGACAGACAAATTGTAACCTTATTGGTCACCTGTGTGTCGTCTGGTATGACTGTACAGTCTTTGTGTGTGTGTGTGACCAGGCTCGACCTCATGGATTTTGCCTTTAAAAAACAAAGAATGGGGGCCGCTCAGGTCCCAGTATCAGCTCCTGAGCCTGTGCTGCGGCCCTGACCCGCATTGTAGGAACCTTCTCAATAAAGTTGCTTCTTTGTTAATTTTGTTGCAGTGGGCTCTGTCACTCCAGATGACTAGGTGGGCTTGCCTGCCTGAGTAGGGGTCTTCCTACTATACCTACAGGTCTAAGGCCTATGAACCAAGGTCAAGATCTCACTAGACATGTCTTTGTCCTGATCACTTTTAAAGGGCACTAGCAAAACTGAACAAAGACCTCCTCATACGACTTTGACTTTGCACTGCTTCTTTAAAGGACATACCACCAAATACAGCCATAATCACAGGCCATGAAGGTGAGTCTTGGAGAAGGTTATTGTTAAGTTTGCCTGGGAGAACAGCCCCTCCCCCACTGGCCTGAAACCAGTCATCACCTGACAGAGTGGGCAAAGGGCCCCAAACTCTGAAGTCACTTCCTCATCCACTGAGGTCATTTCCTGAATTGCCTCAGTCATGCCTCTCTTGGACAGTGAAATGTTCTCCAGCTCTGGGTTCACTTCTGCATCAGCGGTGGTCCCACCTCCCAACTTTCCCTATATAATTAGGCTCAACACAAGTCCCCTTATCTTTGTCTCTTTTTCCTTTCCCACATTCTTCCCATGCTTCCAACTCCTGGGGCCTGGCATGTTGCTTTCCTTCCAATAAACTCTTTTCTGCCTGAACCATGTGGTAGTTTTCTTTCTTTAAACTGTAGAGTTACCAAATGCTTCTCATGAAGGGGTCTACAAGCCTGAACCAAGTGAAAATAATAACAATAATAACAGTACTAATAGCAGTAGTGAAACAGAAAAGTGTGGGTCATTGAGAAACACTGGGAATACAGAATCAAACATATTAATATACAACTGACTCCAGGCTGGATGACTTATAACCATGCAGCATTATTCATGACACTTTTATAGTACTAAACCTTTATTATTGACCTGTAAATTGGAAAATAGTTTCTAAACATCATAGAAACACATTTTTAGGAAACAGAAAACTAAAGCCTGGTGATGGAGTCCAATTACACAAATGACCAAGACTTCATTTTCTGATCTTTATAATGAGCATGATTGGGCTAGGAATGTGGCTTAGTGGTAGAGTGTGTGCCTAATCTAATAATAGTGTGCTCTGGACTCTGTGGTTCTGTCTTCACAATACAGCCCTCAGGTCCTACTGTCCCAGCACTTTCTCCCTGGACACAAGTTTCACATCCATCAACTGCAAGCATTTGCCCAGCCTTGCTGGGCAAAGCACAGACTAGGAGACTGGCCATTTTTAAAATCCCTCTTCTACTCATGGGAACCAGTTTCCATGAAGGTAGCTCAGTCCTATCTACATTCCTCCCTGTTAAATGTGCTGAAAAAATGTTTGAAATTAGAGTCAAAGCCATATGGGAAAGCTGAGGGGCAGCAAATGGTTGCACACTGCTCAGTGTTGATCTACAGCACCTTTAAGCTCACTTCCCTTCATCTCCCTTTACACAGGAGGCAATGGTATGTTCTGCCATTCATGTTGGAAATTGAAACTCATTGTTAGCAGTTCTGGCAACTGTTTTTGGTCATGGTTGTGGTAGGGACAGAGAAAAACCTAAAAACGAACAAACAAACAAAAAACCCTAAACCTTAAAGATGAATGGGAAGAAAACTGCTTAGAAACACTTGAAGTATAGCCTTTTAAAAATGTGACTTTCATTCCGTGTGATTAGGTCTTACCTATAAATTTTAGTCATGGCCATGAAAGTTGCCAGGGGATACAAATCAATCCCGTGCAAATAGAGAACATCCTGACACACTGTTCACCCAATGAGGTGACAAGAAGAGGAAAGAGAAATAGACTAAAAGCTATTATCTTATTAATTAGTTGCAATATCTGAAGAGAAGAGCATACAAAATCAAGTAGAAAGGGACATCAGGTATAAGAAACCTAAGTATAAGAAATCAAAGCAAAGCATGCATTGGAAAGCGGAGAATTCAGGACTTACCTCTGCCCTACTGTAATATTATCATTAATGTCAGGATAGTCCCTACTTTAGCTGCTGTGTATGCTCAGTGCTTGAGGCTGGCAGTAGGCTCAGGCCTTCTTAGTTCCTCTGTTGCAATGTGGAACAACTGACTTATAAGGTAGGATAAGAATGAATGACTATCATAGTTCCTACAGTAAAGTCTGTCTGCTCTTAGTGGCTCTGGAAAGAAGAAGAGACTAACCAACTCTTGATTGTACCTATCTAGAATTTAGACTGGCAATAGGAAGGTTGGAACAAAATGAGAAAATGTGATGTCTTACTTTTACTTTTCCATAGAAGAAATCTCCTTCAGAAGGAGCTAAAGGAGGGGTTCAAATCCCTGCTTGCAACAACATGGTGTCTGTCTAGAGTCGTAGTTTGTCTCTGTGAGCCAGGAGTGGAGGGTATAAATAATCAGTCTTAGCTCAAATGTTATATACTCACTATTCTCACTGAGTTTTAGCAGGTTTTCTTGAATAAAGGCTTATTCGTTCACCCTATGCGTTTGGGACAATGTCCAGAGAATGTCTTGGGTGAGGGCGACCATGAGCTCCATCACTTTCGAAGAAAGTTCATATCCACAGATACCTGGAAGTAGAACTCAACTGGAGATGATTTAGAGATGATTTTACATCAAAAGTAAAGTCAGTACTCCTAACACAGGCAAAGAGAGGAGAAGTGGAAGTAAATGAGGTATAAAAAGGAAAAGAATAAGGAGATCAGCATGTAGCAGAGAGAGAAAATAACAGCATAAAGAGAGGAAAAATACATAGAAAAAAGCAAGGCGAACCAGCCATAATTTATCCAAGTTATGACAGATGAACTTGCATGTGGAACAACTTATATCGCATTGAATTATCTTGGTTTTTTATTCATCAAATTAGTCCCTCAGCTTCCAAAAGTTTCCATCTATTTCACTGTTTACGTGCTGAGAAAACCAAAGGTGATCTTAGTTTCTTAAAAATATACATCTACCAATGTATGTATACATATATCTGATTTTATTCTGTTCTAACATGCCTAATAACTTTTCTGTCCTTGAAAGATTATCTCAAATGCCATTTGCTCTAGAAAGCATCCTATAGTTGACAACATTGCCTCATTCTCTCTTTTTTCTGTTTTTTTAAATTATTTCCAATATCATCCGTTTGTATCTCTTTCATGAAGTTATTTCTCCCTCTTTGGCAGAGTTTCTTGACTCATGCTTAAAACCAAGTCTTACCTTCTCTGATACCCTAGAAAATTCTTCCAATATGTTTCTTTCCCTTATGTTATTCATAATAATTTACAATCAAATAGCCTTAACTCATAGTGATATATAAAATTTTAAAAACTTGCAGGGGGAGATTGGCATCATAATATGTTCATATTCCTCTATCTGTCCCAAGAGTGAATGAATGCCTGAAATAAGGAAGTATGCAAAAAACAGATCGAAACAATAAGAAACATACAGCTCAGCAATCTTAAAGAAGAAGCAAGGAGTAAAGTCAGAATAGGAAGGTTGGTATACATCCTCTTAGTATGTAAACTACAAAATGTATCACTTGCTGTGTGATCATGAGCATAGTTCCTACACACCCTCTCCTACTACTCCCTGTGCAAAGGAAGGAGGTATACATTTGTTCTACTCTGAGTTTCTGGCATGCCCTGCAAGGAAACCTGTGATAAAAAAAAAAAAAACAAGGCTGAAAAGGCTAGCCAGTTCCCAAGGCGCTTGAAATTTCGCAACAAACCAATTTTAATTAAATATAAAGCACATAAAAAGAAAGTGACTTGGTGCTAAAAAGTGTCACACTGTTTCAGCTTCCTACAGAACATTCCCCTTCCCTCCCTTCTATTACAAAATCAAATGAAACAAAGAGCCTACAACATAAAGGTGTTTATTTTTAACAAAGAGAGAATACTGGACATAACATCACACTTTAGAAAAAAAATTCTTATCTCTCTAGAGTTTCCAGCCTAGATAATTAGATCAGTCTCATCTCAAAAATGCAGCTTGCTTCCAAGTCCGCAAAGAAATCTGGTTTAAAATTGCCATTCAGTATCTTAAGGGACCTTAGCATCTCAATTAAATAGTCCACATAAGAACAAGAAGAGAAAGAAATGAAAAGGTAGACTGAGTAATTCTGGGAGGGAAGGATGGAGGGAATCCAGTTTCTTCGTTGAATAAATCATAGTGGTTATTTAATCAGAGGCCCAGACATTATCAGCTCCAAATACAAACAAAAAAAAAGGAGCACGATAACAAATAATTCA